AAACCCTAAACCCTGGGTTCAGGGTTGAGGCTTATTGCGAAGACTCCAGAGGCAACCCGTCAATTTGAATGGTGCCCCCCCGGTCCTCACTCCTAGATATTGAGGGATAAGTAGGGAGAGATTCTTCGGTTTAGTACCTAAACTCGAAACCCTCATTTTTTTGAAAGTGGACCCCTAAACCCTACACCCTAATTTTNNNNACCCTATACCCTAAACCCTAATTTTGTTTTTAAAGTGGACCCGAAACCCTATACCCTAAACCCTAATTTTGTTTTTAAAGTGGACCCTAAGCCCTACACCCTAATTTTAAGGTGTCTTGGGCTGAGGCTGGTAGGAGCCAGAAGTCTTTTAGGGCGTTTTAGGGCCGAAGCCTCGGCCCCAAAGCCTAAAGCCTACTCCGAAATCCCGAGAAGCCTATGGCCTATGATTTGCAGCGTGGGGTTTAGGGCTTAGGGTTTAAGGTTTCGGAGACTTCCAACTTATATTGATTGAAGATCAGTGAAGACGTGCAGCCGGCATCTCGGGATGAATTCGCGTGAGTCGCAACCTGCACCGCAGGCTGCGTCGTGTAGCCGGAACCTCGCTTCGAACAAAAATCGAGTCGAAGACTTATCGGTTCAGGGTTTGGGTTGAAGGCTCAGGGCTCAGAGTTCTGCCTAATTTCGAAGAGCCCAAGCTTGGATTCGGGGTTCAAGAGTTCAAGAGTCACAGAGATCCTTTAACATAGCTACAACCTTCAATTCCCGAGTCTCCCGTCCTGATGATCCTGAAAGATATAATTCAACTGCGCATACGTTTGGATGCGGTAGTCTTGACTGGAGTCTCGTGTCGGGTGTCCCGCGATCTGCGATCTGCCTTAGAACCCCAACCGACCGGCCGCAACGGCTAATTTAGGACATGGGACGATGGCATTGTGCCCGGTATTCGGCTGGGATCTTGGAATCTACATCTTCCTGCTGACTGCTGAAGCCCACAAATCCCCACAACCACAACGTACTACTCTTGCCGCTACTACTATTATTATTATTATTACTGCTACGACGACAACTACTACCACTACTACTGTGCGGCTGCTGCGGACCAATGCTACTGCTCCTGAGTACTGCTACTTTACGGCTACTGCTGCAGTACTAACTACTATCGTCCTACTTACTACTGTTGTACTACTGTGCCGCTACTCGTACAACTGCCACGGCCCTCTGAGCAGCTGATGTGGCCTATAGCCCCGAGACGCACCAACCCCACGCCTCTAAAGAGCCCATCTCCTCTCCAACTCCGTACTGTAACTCCCAAACAATCGGGTGGGCTTCTTCAGGACGTTGGAAGATGTTTGGTTGAGGTTGCAAAGCTATGCCCACAATTCCCACGACTACCACCACCGATGCTGCAACCATTAGCCATGCCACTGCTGCCACTACCCTTACCAGCGAAACTATCAGTGCCACGACCGATACTGCTGTTGCTCTTCCTCCTACTGCTGCTGCTGCTGCTGCTGCTGCTGCTGCTCCTGCTTCGTCTGCCAAGCCCAGAAACACTCGATGCCAGTGTCGTTGGCACCACAAGCGTAATCGGCAGGTTGTCCGGTACTGGCCGACAGCTCTCCACCTGATTGATACTTCAGAGCGGTGTGGATCTTCCGGGATTTTGGGCTTCAGGTTTGAGAGCGTATGGGTGCAACTAGGTCCGGGTTTCCTAACCTATAACTTCGAGTGTAGGATCATTGACCTGAGGTTTCGATGTGGCATGCATCCACGGTTTGGGGGGGGAGGGGGTACACACTAGTCGGCAGCGCTTCATTCATGCGACCACGAGCTACACGACATTCAGCACCTAGCGAGTGTCAAGTCTCGTCGTAGTACTGTAGGCATGGCTCATCGTCTTGAGATATGCCCTGGAAGACGGTGGTGCTCAGGCTGCAGAAATGAGCAGCGGAAAATTAGAATACTGCAGGCAGGGTCCAGTGGCCCGGGTTCAGGTGGGAGGGTATGGGGCGTATCAACGCGAAGCTCCAAACTCGGAGCGCCTAATTCCTGAACTTTGGACTCCTGACCGAATTTTTCAGGACAAGGCGGTTTTGAACATCTTAAATATCGTACGTACCATGACACAAAAGGACACTTCAAGAGATGACGAAGAATAAGCACAAGAGCCAGAAGAATAATGTAAAACCGAAATTTGTGGTTCAGGGTGTGTTTGGTCGGGGGATCGGGAGGACTTCAGTTTTGACCAGCTGGACGTTTAGGGTTTAGGGGTTTAGGGGTTTAGGGTTTAGAGTCTTGAGTCCTGTAGCGCAATGCCCAGAAGCTCAAACTACGCGGCCTGGCTAACGCATTATTCAACACGCCGTTTCAGCATTCTCTTATTTTAATGTTCCGGTGGAGTACCCGGTGAATCTTTGTCAGGATTCTACAGGGCCATATGAAGCCGGGAGTAGGTCAAACTTTCATCCTACCGCAGTAGCGGCATGAGGTTCCACCAAGAAGACCACCACTACTACCAACACCACCACCACGACCAGCACCTTCACCAGCACCAGCACCAGCAACCAGCAACAACAGCAACAACAGCAACAACAGCAACAACAGCAACAACAGCAACAACAACCACAACAACCACAACAACCACAACCACCACAACCACCACAACCACAACCACAACCACAACCGCAACTTCAACCACAAGCATAAGCGAAAGCACAAGCATAAGCACAACAAACATAACGACAGCAGCAGCAGCAGCAGCAGAAGCAGCGGCAGCAGCAGCAGCAGCAGCAGCAGCAACCGCTGCAACGGCAGCAACGGCAGCAACGGCAGCAACAGCTGCAGCAGCAACAACAACAACTACTACTACTACTACTACAACAACTACAACTACAACTACTACGACAACAACAACAACAACTACTACTACTACTACCACCACTACTACTACTACTACTACTATTACTACTGCTACTACTACTATTACTACTATTACTGCTACTGCTGCTACTACTACTACTACTA